GACCTCGCGGTCCTCCGACAGCGGAAGCTGGTTGTGCTTCGCGTAATTTTGGAGCTGCTCCAATGTGGCTTTCTCCAGATCAGCTTGCTCTATCTTCGACCTCGTCTTCGGCATTCTCCTCTTCTACACTCACTCGACACAACAAAGTTTTCTTATTACCGACTCGATGCGGACTTGCAGAGCCCGTTTTTTATTTCGACACGACACGACAACGTCTTTTCGACTATTCTTTTCCGACACGACGCGGGTTTAATGAGCCCGTTATCCCACTTCTGAATGTTGAAAGTTCTCGACTAGTTTTAATCGACGACAAACGGCACGAAACGGCTGGACAAAAATCCGTCTAGTCCTTCGAGAAATAACTTGTAACGGTCGGAGCACCGAGTTCGCTCGTTCAAAATGTCCGTTGAGCGTAATTGTTCAAACCACGTGCTCCGATTGGCTACCGACTGTATTTATTAATGTAACCGGGATGTATGAATAAATCACTTTTTCATATAACAGTATAACAAATGGTCTTTATTTTAACAACCGAATACAAGCTTACTGGACGATCGTTCGATTGACTAGATCTAAATTCACGGCTTATTCGACGACTCTAATACGACTAATGCGACTGGTTTTAATGCCGGTTCCGAACAGAGTGTCTCTCCGGATTTTGTTCCGGATAATCTTGCGGATCCTGAAGATTCCGGAACGTTCTCGAACTTTCGTCGGATCCGATAGCGCGCGCATAGATCGATTAGTTACTTCGATCTATCAAGAGTCGATGTATTGCAATTTGATGAATCGCCTGGTGCCGTCTGTCGGTCGGCCGTAGAAATACTTTACAGTATGCATTACCGACACTTGTAGATATAGCACATATCGGAACCAAAAAGTCGTGGACGTAGCACGGAAGAGACCCAAAAGATCGTGGATATTACCTACAAAATTCGTGGATATTGGCTACGTAGTTCAATGTGCACGTTTTGTGCATATAGAGGCGCTAGCCCACAGAACACATAAAATGCGGGCATGTCCACTCTCAATCTTCTCTCTGGTAAAAGTAAGGCACTAGATATGTAGGTATTCTCATCCGCCATTTTGGTTCCTACTAGATGGAGAATTATAGCGTATATAGTATAGTATAGCGCACATGTGTAACACGTCAATTATTAAAAATGATTCAGGACTTTTTTCGACTCATTTTTTGGCAAGGAATAACGCTATGTACTTAGTGGGCAGTCTTTAAGTGTCACCCTGTATACGCTATAATTCTCCATCTAATAGGAACCA